GAGGAACAGGGGATTGAACTCAGGCCTTTGTACTTGCCAGGGAAGCACTTACTCTACTGAGCCATCTCCCTGGCCCCTTAAGATTTTTTTTTTTTTTTTGGTGGAACCAGGGATTGAACTCAGGCCCATGCGCTTGACAAGGAAGCACTTATTCCACTGAGCCATCTCCCCAGCCCTTCAAGGTTTTCAAGTGTCTATACTTAATAAGATTAGAGCTCCCCAAAGATGGAGACTAAGTATTTTGTCTTTTTATATTCTGTACTGAGGTGGTTAAGCTTCATTGTGTCAACCTGGTTGGTTTGAGAACTGCTGAGACTAGGGAAGCACATTTCTGGGCGAGTATGGGGCACAGAGGCCTGACTTCGGGTACAGTATGTCTGGTGCTGGCCTAGTCCTCACCAGCTCTGCTCCTCTGCTTTACTGCCTGGCCACCAAGAACGAAGCAGCTTTGTTCCACAAACCCTTCCTTCATGTGGTTTCTGCTTAGAGTCAGATCATGGACTGAATACCCTGAAGCCACTACACAATTAAACCTGGCTTCCTTTATTTATTTTCATTTTTATTGAGACAGGATCTCTCTCTCTGCAATTCAGGCTGGCCTTGAACTCACTATGTAGCACAGGCTGGCTTTGAACTTGCAGTGATCCTTCTGCCTCAGCATCCCAAATGCTGGGATTGCAGGCATGCGCTACCACACCCTGCTCTTCCTTTAAATTGTGGGTGTCAGGCATTATATCTCAGTGACAGGAAAGATAATTAACACACTTACAAAAACTCAACTAATACTCAATAAAATGTTTTAATCATGAATTATTAAGGAGCATTTATATAACAAAAGTAGATCTTCAGTGTTCATTCCCAACATTTAACATTGATGAAAATTAACTCAATTTTTATTATTGTATCAAAATTATAATGTTTTAAAACAAAATGCATAGTACCTGCCTGGCAAGTGCAAGATCTGTAGTTCGATCCCCAGTACTACCACCCAAAAAATAAAAAAGCATAATTTAAATAATTCTTTTAATTTTCAAAACATTAATTACTGTATTAACTTTTAAAACAGATGAGAATGTCATGAAAAACCTTCATTATATACAAGTAGCTTGATTGGTTATATTCTGAAAAAAGAATGACACATTTTCTCTTATTCTTTCAAGAAAAGGATCTATAAGATTTAAATGATCTCCAGAAAAATGCTTCCATTTCTTCAGTTGTGACATGGAAAGAGGTTTCAAGGAGCTAGATTTGTGTTGACCGAGACCAAGCTGACAATGTCTAGTGACAGCATCTTTTTCCAAAGAATCATCTGAAACACGTAAACAGTAAGAAAATCCTTAGGCCAATCAATAAGCTGCTGTACACAATGTTTTTTCTTTTACAACAATGAGTTTATGCAGTTATTACATTGGATAACTACAGTTCAAGTTAAAATATACAGTTCATTCTACAGATACAATAGTTTACACTATGTTAGTTTAAGCACTGTGGGCAAAAATGGTGTATAAACACAGGAATGGGCTGTGAATTCAACTTTGTTGTCTACCAGAAAAGCTATACATTAAACAAATAATCATCCAAAGAAATGTATTACAGGTTTATACTTGCATATGTAAAATCTGTAGGACCAGATGTTTCCAAATTAGAATGTAATTAGAGAAATCTGAGTCAGCACTCCATTATCAAACTCATTAATACGCTGCAGCACATCATATGAATAGTCTTGTGAAATAGTTTAAATAGAGGGTGCTGATAAACTCCCATTCATTTTTTTTGTTCTGTTGCTTTTTGAGAGAGTCATGCTATGTAGCTCAAGCTGGCCTTGAACTCACAGTGTATTCAAGACTGGCCTTGAATTTGTGGCAATCCTCCTGCTTCAGCCTCCTAAATGCTGGGATTACAAGCAAGCCCCACCAAGCCTGGCCTCACATTAATTTAGATAGGAGTTTTGCCACCAAATAATTTTGTTACAAATTTATGAAGGAATAAAAACCTTTTGGTGAGCTGGGGAGATAGCTCAGTGGTCTAACCGCCTATCTGGCAAGCTCAAGGACCAAGGTTTGATCCCCAGTACTGCATGCTATGCCAGCCCCAGAACCCTGAGCCGCATAGAGAAACACTGTGCCAAATAAATAAATTTTTAAAAATAATAATAAATAAAAGCCTCTTGGTGATTTGACCCTTCTAAGTTTCAGAACTGGAGATAAGGAACTGTGGAGCTGCATTATAAACAGATTAAGGGTTTAAAGAGATGACTAGAATGACATCTGAAAAGAGGAGTTGACCAAGGTGAGGATCCCTAAGGAAATGCTCTAAGAGCTAAAGGGTGACAGAACAAGAACTAGATGAGGAAGAAAGGTAAAGCACTCTGATAAGAGTACAAACAGAGGCCATGAAAGAACATTGGCATAGTTAACTAAGATAATCAGAGCCTGAAAAGTCAAAGAATAACACAAGAGGACAAACTGAATATTGCAAGGTGAAATAAGTATTTAAGGGCTGGCTTCCTTTCTGTCCGACATCTTGACGGGCCTGCAGTGGTCTTCGCTGTTCTCCCGGCTCCGCGATGCCACCCAAAGACGACAAGAAGAAGAAAGATGCCGGGAAGTCGGCCAAGAAAGACAAAGACCCAGTGAACAAATCTGGGGGCAAGGCCAAAAAAAAGAAGTGGTCCAAAGGCAAAGTTCGGGACAAGCTGAACAACTTGGTTCTGTTTGATAAAGCTACTTACGACAAACTCTGTAAGGAAGTTCCCAACTATAAACTCATAACGCCTGCTGTGGTCTCTGAGAGACTGAAGATCCGTGGATCACTGGCCAGAGCAGCCCTTAGGAGCTCCTTAGTAAAGGGCTTATCAAGTTGGTTTCAAAGCACAGAGCTCAAGTTATTTATACCA